AGGAGATTTGGGAGCTCCCCAATGAGAGACTTTGGGTACACAGCCTTGTTGGTTACATGCGTGGGATTGTTCCACTCTCATGTATCTGCTAAACTGTAAATTCATCTTCTCACATAAGCATTTTACATTTCACTGGGTCAATTTCTTTACTGGAGTGCATTGTGTAAGTAGACCCCAGTATGCCTCAAGCTCTTTGCTTGCCTGAGTTTTCCCAGTGGTTTTGTCAATTGTTTTCTTCCACAGAGCTGGCAAGTAAAGAACCAAATCCCTCTCTGCTCCTAATGAAGAATACAGATTTGCATACATATGTTGTTCCGATTGGGAACGGCTTTAAAGAACGACAATGGACTCTCAAGGGAGTCACAACAGGAGAATTCCTTAGTTTATTGCTTCAGCCTGTCTTATAGACAGATACGTGGAAAGTACAGAAAAGAAACTCTTATTGGTTAACAAAGTGCTACATCACTATCATTGGTCAGGGGCACTTTGCCCCCCCTGACTCTCTCCTGCAAGGAGAAACAACAGGCTGCAAAACAACACCTGCAAGGCTGTTTAGTGTCTCTGAGAATTGTTTTAATTCCTTCTCATGAATTTCTCAGGCTAGCCTTCAGTCCGGCCTGAGAGCTATGTGGCCTGTAATAACTACAGGCACTCTGGTTCAGATTTAGCATCCATATACATATGCTGGCTTACGTAGATGACTTGTCTGTGTCACAGGAAGTGTTTGTGGGGTGTGGGGTCAGCAGATATCAAAGCAGAGGGAAAAACTTCTTTAATGCTTCCCTAAGGAATTCTCAGTTGAAGGGCTGAGGAGAAAAGAGATTGGAGAGGCTGGGAGATACTCATTTTCTTGAGTGCCTTTGAGAGTGCAAAATATCATAAATAAAATTGAACTCCAATGTTGTAGTTGCAGGGACTCTGCTAGGCAAGATTAGCAGTGAAAATTATTTCTAATTCTGAAATTTCTCCTCATATGTATTTCTGAAAGTGAGCAAAATTCTCTTGAATTTCTGGCCAGATTCAGATTCTAAGAAAGGATTTAGCAGGTTGGAACTGTGTGGCTGAACTCAGAAAGTAGCATGTGCATTTGCAACAGGAAATGACTTTGTGGGGATGAATTGACAAAATATAAGAGGAAGAATTAGGTTGGTCAGTTGATTTGTTACCACTGAGCTTCATTTCTTATTCTGTAGTAGGGGATGTGTTTGATTTCTTTCCAGCATAGCTGATGAGTTAGAATTGAACTGTGTTTCCCATGAAGCCGACTAACATTTGTGCCTGTCATTGCTCTTGGTCACGCACAGACATTCAGAAAGTGACATGTTTGGTTGCCTGGTATTGACTGCCTTCAGCTAATGTCACTTCATTTATTACTTGCTGCAGATAACTTCTGATTCAGTTGTCAGTATCGTGACCCCTTCTGCTCTCTCCCTTATTTTCTTTCACAAAGAGAAAGTTTTGCCATTATTTAGAACTGCTGTTAATTCTGTCATGTGTTCTCCTGTGCATCAGAGCACTGTGCATACTCAGGGGTCAGACACAGCTCACAGTCAGGCTTTCTACTCTGTCCGGGTTTATAGAGGGTGAACTGCACCATTGGGATCTGTGCATTCTCCAGAAGCTTAAAGGCATCAGGATCAATCTTACGGTGCTTTTTTCCCCCTCTTGTCTTTCCCATGAGTATAATATTGGCTTTATGAAAGTGATCAGAAAATTAAACTGAAAGTTTCAAGGTTCCATTCTGAGAAACAAAATGTCCAACAGCTTTGGCCAAGTTTTTCAGATTCTGTGCCCTAAAATCATGGATTTCTGAATAATGGGATCAAGATTGTGGCTATTAATTCAGTGCTTCTGAGAGCAGGAAATGGAGGAATGGTGCAATCATTATATCCCAGTCTGACCATTTTGGAATTAAGAAGATCACGTATGGAAGCCATTTTTGCACACTATTGATAAGGATGTTGCTTCTGGTGCAAGAGTGTAGAGCAGGTCTTGTACCCAGAGCAGAAATAACACACAAGACCTTTGTGTAAAATGTCTGTACAACTGTGTACACTGCAAAGAACCAAAAGGGAAAAAACCTGTTACACAATATACCAAACTTTCAAATATCATCCCAAAAAATATCAAGTGTTATATGGACTGTAATAGACAGACTGAAACAGATGTAGAATGACGTGCTTCTGCTCTGTAGATTTACTGAGATGGGATATAATTTAGTTTCCCTGCATAGGAAAATAAAAATTCATTATTTTTTCTGAGAACATTTTTCTGAGAAAGGCCAACTCTGTTGGTACAGAAAACCCAAATCATCTTTCTAAAGTGAAATAATAAAATGTACTCTTGTTCCTAGTTTAATGATATATTAAAGAACTTGAAAGGCAACAAATTTACTTCTTTTTCCTTAGTAGATCACTTCTAACATTCATATAGCTATATTGCTTCTGCATACTAAGAAATGTGTGATTTCTTGCCCTAAACCCCAAACAGAATTGAGACCCCTTTGTTTAGATATTCATATGGTAAACATGTATTGGTAAAAAACACTTGCTTATCTTTCTGTGTGCTTCCCAGCAGTAGGGTTGCCAGTATGTAACAAATGATCCTGATATGAAAAAAAACAGAAGACAAATTTTTCTCACAAAATTTATGTGTGTGCCCAGGTTACTGTTAGTCATCGTCATAATCTCTAGGCTATCTTCCTTAAAAGCATGGATGTTCCTAGGTGGTTTTTTTTCCCCTTTTCTGTGGTCCAGAAATGCCTCAGGATGAAGCATAAGGATTACGTGTGTATGTATGATGAGAATGTTCCTATTCTGAGACCTTTGGTAAGAGGAGACAAAGACATGAGAATGCAGCTGCAGCAGAAGTGGATGTGAAAGCGTGGCAACTGCTTAGCAAGAAGATGTGGGTTTCATCTCAGTTGCACAATGGGAAGCACTTCATTCAATAAGTTTTCTGTTCTCCTTACTTAAAAAGTTTTGTGCCTACAGAGTTTTGGGGTAAAGGTGAATGGAGAACACTCATTACAAGTAAATAAAGACAAACCAAACACCACTTGAGGGACTAATGTTTTTCTGAATATATTAAGATGCTGAAATGCGTCTTACAGTAAGAGACTCTCAAGACACAGAATCAGTCAGTGTGGCTCTGAAAGTACTATTTGGATATTGAATTTTTCATCTGTTTTGTGAGAGGATTTCATGCTTTCCAGTTTGTTTCTACTAAAGGGCATTCAGAATAAACAGTGTTTGGGAAGCGTAGCTTTCTCTGATAGCACAGGCAGAGACTATTCATAAGTTTTTGACAAAAGTGCCTGAATAGCAAGCAGTGATGTGGTTGGGCTTTCAGACTCCTGCATGGAGTGGAGTGCCATGGAGTCCCACAGTGCCAATGCTGGGAACCTGATATTTACTGTGGAATAGTTTGTCCTTCCAAGCAGAACAAATCAGTGGTCTGTCTGTATTAGACAGTAGTAAGATCAGAAGCAAAAGCATCTTTCACAAATACTTAAATTTATCTAACAGATAAGACAGAAGAAGAGACAATATTGACATTAAATCTGGACTTTGCCACCTGCTACAACTGAGCAACTTGAAGCGTTATTTCCCTTGATTCTCAACAGAAATTGTTTCAGGAGAATGATTTGTTCTTTTCCTGTCATTTATTTAAATAAATTCTCTCCAGATTCTGTGACTCATTTTCTCCCAAATGGATGGCTATGCTGCCAGCAAAAGAAAACTCCAAGATTAACAAACTAGCTGTCTTTTAGTGAAAATGCCACTGGTAGTTTACCTGACATTGCTTTGTCTAAGGACAATCTGAATAGCTGATAGATCTTTGAGTTTTGCTTTTGGCTGTGGTCAATTTTCACAAGCAGAGCATTTCTTTCCCCCATGCATACCTGAGTGGTCTGTTGTGCATTCTGGGTGATCCTGCAGGCATTTCAGAGGCATATATGAGAGGATTAATCCAATACTCCCAAAACCTCCTGAACACTGTCTTGGCCCAGTAATGAGCTGCAAAGTTAGTCCTAGTGATGTAGTGCTAGCTGGGATGCCAGTCATTGCCTTCAGTCTCTTAATTGGTAGTTGAGCCCTTCTGGGACTTGCACAAGCCTTCCTACTATTGACCCTCTGCAGACAGCCCCCATCCCTCCCCAACTCTTCTCTTCCACCCAGTCGCCTCATACTTTTGGGTAGACTGGGCTTTTGCTATGGCAAAAAGGGAGCTGGGGAAGTTGTGATTTGGAAATCTCGCACTGTACTTTCGGAACTATGCTCTGTTAGTCTGGTGAGCAGTGCCACAAGAGAAAAATGACAACAGTAATTTGGAAACTTAGAGAAGCAACTGCACACAGGTGTTGGCAACATGTGAGTATCTTTATCTTGGATAAAGCTAGAGTAAAATGGGTTCAGTGAAGCAGAAGGAGATGTTGGCAGCAGGAGAAGGAGGAGTAGATTTGAGAAAAATAGATGCTGTGCACATTGTAATTACTGTTTACTCTGTGAAGAGGCATGAATAATACTGTGCTTAACATATTCAAGGAGATGCCTGAAAGGTAGATATTTTCCAATGGATGTGTTAAAAAATGTAAAGGTAAAAACAGATGAAGAGCAGAGAAACTCTGTATCCTTACTTGCATGTAGGCCTTAGAAAATACTGATAAACAAGAGCCTCAGAATGAAATTGAAGAAATCCATTACGACATTAACGAACTAAATGGCATCTCTCTCAAGTACAGCAACAAGCTACTTTGAATAATGTCTGTCATATGTTGGGAGTTGAGCTTAACTTTTGGGTTATATGGACCTATAAATGGATTTACATTTTGTAATGTCAGTTCTAAGACTCTCAGGGTAGTCCCTCATCTTTCAAATATGCTTAGGGAATATGCTGTGCTAGTGCAGTGTAGATAGAAAAAACAAAGGTGAAAGCCCTTAATGGTAAATGTTATGTATATAAAGGATGGTGTATTTTTAGATAGCTAAATTTGAATTATAGGCACCCGACAGATGGATAATGATCAGCTGATTTTCTGTCTGACAGATGTTCTAGATTTCTCTAGTTTTGCATACTTTTTTAATCAAGTGCATAAATCAAAATTCACTTACATGAAGGCACGTCAGACTGTCCTTCATTATCTTGCTGGGTTGTCTAGTATTATGCAATGAAGGAAGATTACATCAGAGGAGAAGGAGATGTGCTGGAGAGGAAAGGGAGGGCTTTGTAACAAGTACAAAAGTGCAAACTGTACTGCAGAGGAGAGTATCTTCATATGGCATGAGTTGTAGACCAGATTTTCTCCATTTAAAAGTGACCATTTAGGGGACAAAACATCCATGCAAAAGAGAAAAGAGTGGGGGGAAAAGTCCTTCTTCCAAGGCAGGCTTGAGAATGTGTGTTTTCCTGTTAATGTCATTCTTTACAGCTTATGCGAACAGCAGTCTACTCACAACAGTACTTTCAGCTCCACCATATTAAGGGTTGAATTGAAATGGACAGGAAATGCAAGCATGCTGGTATTTTGGCATTGAGAGTAATTTTAACAATTTTACTAAGCAAAAGAAGACCCCAAGCGTTTTCTGTTCTGAAGGGTAATTTACAGTCTCTTTACTTGCTGTGGTGAGCATATGAGGAAAAACAATTAGGACACCTAGAGTTTAATAAATACGAACACCCCCACAAAGCCATGAGACTGTGTATATAAACATGGATTCATTCTCCTTCTTTTCATATTTTGTGCCAAGTGCTGATCTCACCCTCTGATAGTATAATACTAAATCTGAGAATGTCGATGCATGTTTGACCATTGGACTGCATCATCTTAAAGGTCTCTTCCAACCTTGATGATTCCATGATTTTTATGTGTTTTCTGAAGAATGTCATCCTTGAATGCCCATGTATAGTTTCTACACTTTGCCACTGATGGAAAAATTTCATTTGGATTTGACCTGTTTCCCTGCAGAACAGGAACCTTCCGCTAAATCTCCAGGTGAGACCTTTCACTTACTGCCCTTGGTTAAAGGAAGCAGTTTATTTGCATGTTCAGGTCACCTTTCAGACTTGGCGGTCCTACTTGAGCCTTTGTTTCTTGCCAAGAAGAATTCATTTCTTCTATTACAAGGTACTTAAAGATACAAAGATTACTTCTTGGTTTTGGATTGACACAGCTGAAAGGCACTTTGATGGAGAAAAGAAAATGTTTGTAGTAGAAATGGCAGGTCAGCATCAGTAATCAAAGTTCTGCCTCTTCTTTCCTGCATATCAGAGCAAATCATATTTGATATTTACTTGTATAATTTTTTATATCCATGAAATGAAAGCAGTAATATTTCCCAAGCTTAGCAGAATTTTAAAAGGGGGACTCTGATGCTCTGCTTCTTATATGAACAACACTAACATGACTGACACTTTCCATATCCAGTTCTTAGTCTAAATACAGCCAGTTGTCAACCAAAAGATGACAACCTTCCATCAGATTGATCTCCGGTACCATCTGTATCCCTTCCCACACAAAGCACTGACCTTATTCACACAAAGAGACAACACTCCTGCTCCCATATTGCAAACAGAACTTCATTCATATAGAGCAAGTAACTTCTGTTTTTCACTGAGTAATGGATATCTAATTATTATTAATTGCTCTGTTAATTATCACATTATTGTGTAAATGATTGTATTATAGCCTTTTGTGACTGCTAAGGGCAGTTTTCACACACTCTGTGCCACTTGCAGCCAAGTATCCTTCTGCTCTAGGTGTTCACACTTCATCCTTTGACTCCGAGTGTGACCATGCCTCATTTCTGTGCCTGATTGAAAGCCCATTCTGGTCCAAAGTTTCCTATTCAGTACAATGGGCTTTGAGACAGGGATCACAGGAGCAGAATATGGTTGGTTCCATTATTTCCGGGATTCAGTTATTTATCGTATAAAAGTCACACGCTCAACTGAAGGTTAAACCAGGCTAATAAGCAGCAGAGGAAAACAAGTGGTTTGTTAGGTGAAGGATAAAGAAATTCTATGAAGAGTTTCAGTGTTTTGAGAGGTCATTTTATATAGGTTGCTCCTTGGTGAAATGAATTTTTTCTAACAAGATTCTAAATAAGAATCTGAACAAGATTCATAATAAGGAAAACATGCTTTACTTCACACAGACTGTATGACAAGAGAGTTTTAGTTCTCTTCCAAGTGATTGTAAAGCAAAACCGCTTTAAAAAGAGGGAATAGGTCGTAAAAGGATGTACAGATGGCTGGCAGAAAGGACTGTTGCCAACCCTATTTACAGGTTTCTTGGTGGTGCAAAGCTGTTCGTTGTGCACGTCTGTTGTGCAAAAGGCACGGTAAGGACGGTAAGGATGTACACAGACAGTCTTTTCTTCAGGGGAAGAAATAAAGCTTAAACACTCAGTATTGAAATGTATGGCTTTTAATAAGAAAACAACCACTGAGAAAAGCTATTGTACTATTGAGCAGGTGATTAGCCTCCATCAGGCTACAGCTGTTTTCTTCTTCTGTTTGTTCCATGTGCAGATGTTGCTATGAGGAAAGGAGTCAGCAATGACTGATGTGGAGCCTGTGGTCACAGATTTTGCAGCATCAGGACGGGCAGGCCGCCGAAACGCCTTACCAGATATCCTGGGCTCTCCTGCTGGTGCTGGGACTTCAGAGTTGCCACACAAACTGGCTGAGCTCTCTGTTTCAGAAGGTAATGGCTGTGCATTCAGAAAAGGACATTTTTATGCAGTTGTCCTTTGTTTTTTTCCTAAGACTTCCACCACCATGCAGTTTTGATAATACTAATATTCCTTTCATCATTTAGAATTAATTTGAACCTTCCAAAGCAGTTATCACGTGTGTCTCCTGATGAGACAAGTTAATATTAACCCATATCCATCCACAGATACATTATTAGCAGTTTAGGGAAACAGTTCAGTGCTGGGAAATGAATTCCAGTTCCCTTGATTTCCAGGCAACTTTGCAAACACAGCCAATCCAGCCATAAATTCCAGCATACTACTACACTGAGATAACTTTGCATAAGACAGCAGAGCTGTGCTGTCAATACAATGACAGCTATCCTAACTCAGGCATATACATTAAACGTAGTGTTTATAGTATATTTCTCCTGCTTAGTAGGCTTTCAACTTTTCTATCTGAGACCAATGCCCTATTTTGCCATGATCTTTAATTTAATAAGCTGTTCTGCTGATACAGCACAGGTCTAATCAACACCAGCTTTGTGAGTTCTTTTTACTTTCAGAATGACTTCAGGGGAGTTTTCAGATTCAGAAAAATCCTTTTTCTAATGCCTAAGAAACAAAAAATATAGACTCACCCTGATCATGGTCTGTCCCTACTTTTTTTAAACTGAATCAGAATTTTTTTCAGAAAACATTTTCTTCTCATGCCCATCACTGTTGCTGTACCACCACAACAAATGGTCCCACATTTGACATGATGGTGTGAGTGCAGCAAACGGGAAGGCAAGCCTGTGCTGAGGTTCAAACAGTCCATGAATCTGAACCAAAGTAGATCATTAAAGGGATTCCTAGTCTCCAGAGCTGCATATCCTCCTTTTACATTGCCCAAAGAAATTACAGGATGTTAGGTGTACAGCCTCCTAAAGCACCGTAAAGGCTGGGAAGGAAGGATTTATTTGATCTCAAATTGTTGTTATTTTGGTGATTTAATTTTTAGTCGTGTTTGGGGGTTCTGTAATCTAAATCCCACATGGGCCCATCAAAGGACTGCTGAGGAAGTAGAAAGAACATTTCCTGGAGGAGTAAGAAGGGCCAAATGACCATATTGTGACTTGAACCAGGAGAAGCAAGGAAAATAAGAATCTGAACGTGTTCTGGAAGAAGGCATTATTTTGTCTTGAGGAGACATTTTTCCCTATAAATAGGAAAATTAGGTCCCTACAAAACAAACAGGAAAGAGTGCAAGTCTTTTTAAAAGAAAAGTTACAGCATGGCATAAAGTATCTAGCCCTCCAGATGACACAATAGTCCTCCTCTCCTGGTTTCCACCCAATCCATTAAGAAGAAGAAAAAATGAAGCACAGCTATGTTAGTTTTAGCAAAATGTACCAATGCTTTCGTAGAAATACAGGACCAGCACTGCCAGGATTTGAAAAACAATTAAGAGCATTGAATTGTCCTTGGCTTTTGTCACTGACAGCTATGCCAGAGCATGTTGGAAGGCAGCAGATTCTGTTACCAGCAGTTTACAGTAGTGATAATAGGAAGTGAATACAAAATGCAGTTAGGTCCACTCTGACAGCTTGGGTGCTTTCTGGGGATGGGAATTCCACAAGTATCAGATGGGAATTTCAGCCTCATTGTGTTGTAAATTAAAGTTTTGATGAGATAGCAAGCAAACAGAGGAGAATTCATCAAAATGGAAAGACAGTTTTGAAGTTCAAATGCTGTAACAGGGAAACAGTTTGTGAAACATTTGGGACTCTTAACAGGCATCTCTTTTGCCTATTTCTGACTTTAACAATAAGTCGTTAAAAAAGGAAAGTCATTTGCAGCTCAGAACAAAGAAATTAGATAAAGGAGAGAGGTGGAAAGATGGAACGTGGCTATATAAAGTATGCCCTATTTTGTTGCTACTCTGAAATTCAGATTCAGCAAAGATTATGGGAAATGGGAAGGACTCTCTCAATTTTGTTTCAAATTTAGCTAATGCTCATTGGATCATACATTTCCTCTTTCTAAAATACTGTCAGCTACCATCATAGTGAAAAGTCAGGAACAAGATGTTCTAGTACCTTCTGGTTTAGAAGAGAAAAGAGACTTTGCACTATTTTTTTATGAATACACACGGACTGTACCTGTATTATGGACAAATGTCTATGTACTCTGCAAGCCACATGAAGTTGATGTTCTTGTGAGATGACCAGGAGAGATTCTGGCACCAGTTATTTATTTTGGAGCGTAACTCTGAAATGCAGACCATCTGTATCATGTCTGATCATCCTCTGGTGGTGTGTAAATTTTGGAGTGAAGAGACTTTCCAGAGGTGGTCTGGAACCACGTTGGTGTCACCGGTGATCCAAAGGTTGAAGAGGAGGCTGCAAGAATTTTGAGAGCAGGAAGCTGTTGTCTGAAAGACTCCACTAACATTAGATGTCCAGCCTGCACAGAAACAGCCAATAGAGGAGATCACTCTGTCTCCTTTTCCACAACAGGGCTGTGCCACATATGGCTGGAGGATGTAAAATAACTCGGTTCTTTATCACTATAGAGCTCCAAAGCCTCTGAATCCCTAAGCAGACTTAAAACATCAAGCAGTTTCTGCCAAGGGCTTTAGCTGATGAATTGTGTGCAGCATTATATATTTGCTGTGATGTGGAGACCAAGATACATAATTATTTTGTGTGATTTTGATATTTTATAGCAAGTCAGAAAATGTACCCCTTAGATTATGACTGTGGAGGAGATGGAGGAGTATGAGGTGGAGAACAGTACAGCCAGATGTGCTGAGCAGGTCTCTCCTTGTCCCCAAAAGCTATGGCCTGCTATAGATCTGGTTATGTTGTTACCACTGGTACTACCATGTGGGATTTGAAGATAATGTGAAAATTATTATTATGGTTTGCAAACAAATTAAGGCAAGAGGAGTTTCTGCTTCTCAGTGAGTAAACTTGATCAGAAGAAACAGCATGGAATAATACATGTAATGACCAGAGACACTGGGGAGCTTTTATTTATATCAGTCATGTAAGCATTCAACTCTAATCTGTGCAAAAGTGAATTTCCAACTCAGAATAACAAAAATCCCCCATCTTGTGAAGACAGGTATATTCATGTAGGTATTTCTTGTCCAAGAAGGTCAGACATATAACTGGCATGTCCATAAACTGTAATGTTATCTACCTGAAACCAGACAGTGCTCAAAGAAATGAAATATTCTAATTTTATTTTGGAAATGACCCAAAAAAAAAAAAAAATACCATGATACAAAGTTATTTCCAATCTGTTTTTTAGATTAATGCCAAATGCACATTGATCAGCCTGTGCAAGGAGTGGGCAAATCAACACCAACAGGCAGTGGCTTTTAGAAGATGTCTCTCAAAGTTCTTTATTTCTTGAGTTAATCTCTCTTTCAAAAGCACCCATGACTGTGGTAGCAAAGAGCCAGTCCAAACAGAGATGATCAGTGAACCCAAATACCTGGTTGCATTAAAAAAAGCTGTGAGAATGTGTGTGGTATAAATGTTTAATTCTGTCTCTGTTTAGATGCAGGAGCAGAGGGTGGAGAAGTGTCATCATCCAAGGCCTTGCTGGAAAGTCAAGAGGCGGAAGGAAAACGCAATGATTCCTAACACCTAAGGACTTCTGGGTTAATGAATCCCATCAACAGCCTTCCCAGTTTCCCTGTGTCACCCCTTCTGAAGTGTGGTAGCAACTTTAGCAGCACAGACATGACTTTGCAAAACACTTGTACCTAGATGATTATGCAGATGGCATACAGTTCTTTCTAATGTCATCCTTCAAAAGCAATGTTCTGCATATCCAAACAGAAAGAGAGCTAAAGAATGTATCTCTTGTTTTCAGTTTTCTCTCTTGTTCTGGTTATAGTGTTCTTCCTAACTAATCTTATTTAACAGTTCATCTAATTCATGCTTTCAAAATCAAAATCCTGTTTCTAATTTCCAAAACCAACTTACTTCTCTCTGACACAGAGGTTCACTCCCCACAATGTGATACTAAGTATATATTAGATTACAGACATTATCTGTAATTTATCTCCCGAGATTTTTGTTCTCATTAGACATATGTAGATGGATGTGAGAAAAAAAAAAAATAATTACATAAAATAAAATTTTCTCCTACTCCTGTTGCCAGAAAGTTTTATAGACTATTTAAACATCAGTGTTTGTTTTCTCTCCTGACCTCTATTTGATTATGGCAGATCATCTCAGTTCTCCCACTCTTTGTAGTCTTCCCACTTTGGCCATTCGTTTTCATGCTGAATATTGTAGCTGTTCATGTGTATCTAACGTAAAGTAGGTATGTTTGTATCTGATGAAAATTGTTTAATCTCACTGTGGAAATTAAATATCTATCATCTTTTCTGTCTTTGGTTGATTTCTTAATTTTTCTCCTATAGGACAATATTTAAAGCCCAGTAATACATATTTCTGTTATTTCATCTGGGTTTTGCTTTGTTGTTTGCCGACAGTGAAGATGTTTCAATCACTGTGATTTTTACAAAGATTGTAGGCAAAGTTTTTTCCCTACTGGAAAGATTTGGTTTGTTTTGGAGGTCATACTCCTGAAAATACTTGGTATTCATTCCCTTATTGTAGGAGACTTAAGATTTGGGTACAGACATGAACCTTCATGATTCCTTGAGCAGCAGCCACTTAAACGTGCATCATGAAAACTGAGGAAGCATCTCTTATGGGTACATCCCACATGTCACTGGTATTCCATCTGTGAAATATTTGTGTAATCTAAACCTGGCTGAGAGCTTGCAAGAGCTCAAGAGAGCTTGTAAGGCACAACTTTCATTCCAACTGCTCATTTACTCATATTGTGGCTTTTGAGGACCACTCAATAAAGGATCCAGTTTAATTCAACTGAACTGACAATTAGTTTCCTCCTCTTAAACCTGTTTCCGTTTAACAAGTGCAACATCCGAATTTTTTTTTCAGATTTGGAAATGTAAAAAACTTACTTCACTGGATCAAAACAGGTGGCTTAAGAAAGTCTGAGAGACTGAACTAGCTGACACTGAAGGAACAGAGCTGAAAACGACAGTAGACAGGTACTAGGAGGTAACAGTATTTGTGGTACACACCCTTGTTCTGGGTTGTAGTCCTATTCTCCTACACCAGCCTCATTTATAGAATCATATTACATAGAATTGGTAAATTAGAAAAAGCTGTGGTGATACCATCAAAATCAAGTATATGAGTATTACTGGAACATAAGTCCTTATATGCTTTGCTCTTCTGGGTCATGGCCTATATTGAATTCTGCACTTCTTTCACAGTTGCAGCACTGTGCAAAAGAAACTATATTTAGTTTCTTCTCTGATACAATACAGACACTGAAATTTGGGTTACAGGAATAGACACTTTAGGTACTTTCTTAGTCTAAACTAGCTTGAAAATTATTGTTATTAAAACACCAATTATGATCCAGCTGAATTTAGCAAATTATTCATGTGCTAAATTCTATCTAAAAAAAACCCCAGTCTATAACTATATACATAAATAGCCTTAAGTGCTCACAAATGTGTAGTTCACAACCAGACAAGAATTCTCAACACCCTAGGGAATTTATTGTAAACCAATCAGGTATTTACTTTGCACTTGAGCTGTATGAACCTGTTGTTGAAAACATGTTGCACAGAAAGAATTTTAACAGCAATTTTGACAAAATGCATTAGTAAAAACTAAGATTTAAAATGCAATTTAATTAAAAGCAGGATGAACATTTTTAAAAGATCTGTAATATGTTATATGTGTATTACCTAATTGCAAATTAACCAAGTTACAAATACAGAAATGGCTCTTTGCCATGTGCATGTATGGTTTGTGTCTAAATAAATGTTAGTCTAGACTGCATGAGACATCTCTTTTTTAGTTAGTTGTAGCAGCAGTAATATTTAGTAATATTTAGTTGTGCCTGGATTTTACCCAATTTCTCCAGTTGTGAGCCAAATGTATATTGCTGACCAGTATAAACTGACTCACAAACTGACTGATGTGGGAGATATTGTACTGTATAAACTTTGGTCTTTGGATCAGAGTTTATTAGTTGTGCATGATTCTTGGCTCAGGTGGAAGGGAACTCAACCCTTGAAGCCTGTCTGGGGGGCTTTATGCCATGCTGTCCAGTACTCTGGGGCTTGGGCAGAGTTACTGTCTTAAGCACAGCTGAAGTTGGGGATGCTCAGGTTCATTTTCATGTTAGTCACTGAGCCAGTTTATCCAGTTTCAACCATTATCCAGGCTGTATACTACCCTCCCTTAGTGCAACTAATGGATAATTGATAACAGTGCATTCTCTTGGTTAACATGGCCACAACGTAATGGCCCTGAATCAGCAGGGTATTTTAAAACATGCTTAGCTTTAAATGCAGAAGGGTTTCACAGGAGTCAATTTGGGTGCCTAATACTAGGTACTTACTTAGTTACCTTAATAAATGACAGCAGCAAACTTCTATTAGGGCTAATCTAGTATTATAATGCATTAATCCCAATTTCCATTCCAGCAAGTTTGGTACAGGTAATAGCATCTTTTTCATCATCTTACAGCACTATCCTGGGCTTTTGCGAAGCAAAGAATTTCATGTTAATACCAAGCTAAAAAGGCAACTTTGTTGTCTTCATATTTTAGAATATAATGAAGCAATTATCCATTCTTATCCACTCAGCATGCTAAAAAAAAAAAAAAAAAGCAGGAAGTACCTTTGTAATTCTATTGTGCATATATTAAAAAATATAGGTATTTTGAACATATAGAAAGTTTGCCTTGATGTTTTCCGGATGTCATTAAGAAATTATAACTGCACTTGCTTACTTAAAAATTACAAGAGAGCAGTGGCTATAAGAGGCTTAAATTGCACTTTGCCTACTACCATTAGTAGGCTAAATATCCTTTATGTATCGCACACACAAAGAGGAATACTTTCACAGAGAGGAATTCCTCTCTTCTGTCTGCTAGTGCTCTGTGTATGACAAAAGCCATGAAACAGAATTTAACAAAGTCTTCTCCAAGGATTTCTCTATGTGTGTTCAGTGAGCATAAACCCCAGAAGGAGGTGAGTGTGAGTTTCCCCAAGTCCAAACAGCACAGACCAGTGGGGCTGAGCCCACTGGCCTCCCAGGGCACTTGCTCTGAACTAGAAATGGCAAAGGCTTACACTGTCCTGCCATCTAGTGGGATCCTGAGCCTGCCAGGTCGGTTGTGCAAGGCAGTGGAGGGAGCCAAGAGACCTTAAACCCAGCTGCAAATTGGGCTGGTGAGAGGCAGAATGTCTCTAGCTAATCCAATACGTTCATTTCAGGAGTTTTGCTACGGGCCCAGAACCTTGGTGCCTCTGTATACAGAAATCTGTGTGATTGCAAACAGGAGGCATCTTGTCTATCAGCCCATAAACTTACTGTAAAACAGGTGTTCAAGTCTGGCTCACAGCCTACCTTACTTACCCACTCTGTTATTTGGGTTTGGGTGCAAATCCCACCTCAGATGACAGTATTGACACTTTTTTTAGGGATAATTGTGTTTCATCTTCTCAACCTGAAGCTGTTCTACTTTAGCTAGTAATTAGCAATGATTACTGAGAGCTCTTCCTTTACTGTCTTGATATATTTTCCTTTTCAGTCCAGCGGGGACCATCTTGATGGATGTAAGCAACAGGAAGCCTGAAGTCCATCACTTTATCTGGCATGTGCCACAGCCCAATGCCAGATCTCTGGATTTTAGTACAAGACTTGCCTAGATAGTGTTGTGGGGGGATTTTGTTGTTTATATGTGGTGTTTATTTGTTTGTTGGGTGGGGCAGGGGTTGCCTGTGCGCTGTGGGCTTTTCTGTGTTGAACATATTTATAGTAATTGCTTGCAATGTAAGGGTCCCGGTGTGACATTTAGACAATCCCTACCAGTGCTTTATCTAGGGGCTGTACTGTGCAAGGATTGATGCTGTAAGTCCAGTGCTTCTCATACAATGTATGGAAAAGCTAATCTGTGGTAGGCTGGCTTGACCCTACTGTGTAGAGCTTACTTTGCTTTTATTTGCAGACTCCTCAGGCATGTTTGTCGATACATCAGCGGTATAAACATAAAAAGAAGGAGCGTGTGAACTGCTGCTAATGCCCAGCAGAATTCCAGGAACAGTTTTCCAGTATGGCACTCAGTTTCCTAAAGGTGCAGGAGGATTCCCGGCGCATGGGAATGCAGCCGGCAGGCGACACCTCCCTCACGGCGGGCACCAGATGGCGCCCGAGCCCGCGCAGCCACACAGCCGGGCCTCGCCTTGCTCACAGCCTCGGCCCCGTCCGTCCGCCGGCTCCCGGCTCCCCGGGCACGGCGGAGTTCGGCTCTCCTTCGGGATGGTGGCTGCCGTGAGGAAGAGCGGGGGTTGTGGCAGCGCCGCGGGACGGAGGACTTGGCACCCCACGGGCGCCAGAGGCCGCCCTTGCCCTTGCGCGGCCTCAGCTGCAGCGGCCGCGCCTCGTCACCACACGGGCCCTGGGCACCGCAGCTTCTGCGGCTTCCCAAGCAGGGGGAAGCGGGCACAACAATCGTCCAATGCTGTCCCGTTCCTTCCGTCTTGATTTGTTGTCTTACTCCCCTCAAAGCTTACATTCATCTCCTTTCCTGTCTTCAGTGCTCATCACTTTCTGCACTCACACCTGAAACCAAACATCCACCGTTAGAGCTTTCAACACTCAACACAAGAGTTGAATCTCTTTAATTACCTCCGTATTTGCTAAAATACGATGGTAGAAGGTCAACTCATTGCTGTTCCTCTCAGCAAGTACTGGGTAAATGTTCCTTTATCAGACAGACTCATGAGAGACCCTTGAGCCAGGCCCAGAACAGCCCTTGTCTCTAACACGGAGAGAGGGAAAACTTGTGTGGAAAACAAGTAAAATGTCATTATGCAAGTAGAGGTGGTGTTGCAATCTAAAAAAGTGCTGAAATAAGTTTCTTCCAGGCATTTTCTTTCAGACAGCCTTTGAACTTTGCATCTTTTTTTTTTTTTTTTTTTTTTTTTTTTTTTTTTTTCTTTTGGCTGCTGTGACTCGAAATTTCTAGGTAAATTTATAAAGGATGAAATGAAATGCTGGAATTTAACGAGTATATTTAAGGGAGGGAAGACAAACGGCAATGAGGTGGAGTTAAAGGCATGACAGTTTCGCCATGTTTCCTCTCTGTAGCCCTTCTTTTATCAGAGCATTTGAGCCAGTCATGACCTGGTCCTGCACCCTCCACTGGCTCTGGACTCAGGATGTTTTGAGCTCTGGGTGCAAGGCTGATCAGTCAAGAAAGTTTCAAAGGTCTGGAGGAAGATGCTATTAGAAGCCTTGTTTAAATATTACAAGATTAGTTAATGATTTTGACCATAGAGGGTCTGGTTTATGTTTACTGTTGCCATGCTGAGGAGGAAACCTTTCATAATACGTACACATGAATGTATGGAATTAAAGGAACAGTGGCAGTATCTATACCTCCCCATAATTATCTAGGCAGGGACTACATGCCTGGTTTCCTTTGTGTGTATATCTCTATTTTTTTCCCATTACAAACTCTGGATCTGGTAAAGTACGAACCCACACTTAGCAAGTGGGATGTGTTTGTAAGTTTCCCTGTACAGAGTTGTCTACTGTGACCATCTCATGTGATTTCTTGCATAATCCAAAATACAGAACTTCTCTGAATTACTTCCTGCATCATGTCCAATTGGATGTGTTTGTTAGCATAGTTTACAATTTGCAGGGTTGAAAAGTCTTATAAGGCAGTTTGAAAGTTGGCCAAAGGCTTAAGTCTCCTCACAGGTAATATGCACTTCATTTTTAATATAAATTTTTGTAGGTTTAACTTTCAGTGACTGGAATTTTGTGTACCAGACTGGAGAGGCCACTGTTTCTCTGGGATTGTCTCCAAACAACCAGCATGACCAAACTTTTCCCCAAGCTTGTCTTTGTACTACTCCTTATTTAAATCTAGTTATGAACTATCGTAACACTGCAATGCTTCAAGTGGCTCTAAAATTTTGTTTTCCAGGAAATTTATGTATTTAGACTCATGAAAACTCAGATATTAGTCAGTGCTTGGTCAAAAACCAGTATGTGAAGCAGGGATATGGTTGCACTCTTGAATGAATCAAGTTAGGTATGTAATTCCAGCTAGGTCACCCAGCATGAGGTTTCATTTCAAAAGCCTGATTTGTGTCAAGCATTTGTTCATCCATGACAGGCCTATAAATTGATAACCTAATTAAATTATTTATCAAGACTGTGGAATTCATATATTTCTCTGGATGCACGAACACTGCTTTTTAGAACTTCTGAGGAAACAGCTTGATCTGGGTGAGAGGTTTTGATTTAGAGGACACAAACCCAGAGGAGTGTGGCTCCAGCTGCATCTGGGAGATCATATCTGGCTCCAAAAGGCTGTAACTGTGTCCTGTCAGTCCCTAGCTCAGTGGAACAGAGGAGTACCTTAGGGATATCCACATGCAGGTAGCTAATGAGCTGAGTTTTAACTTTGCATCTGTTTTACAAATTCAGTATTTTTTTTCTTAAATTCTTGAATTCATGAAATTCAGTCAAATAAGCCTGATTTTACTTTTTGCCTAAATCTCAGCTGGTACTGAGAATGATTTCAGTATACTGCAGAAAATGGAATGCTTCAGAATGGACAAACTGAATGAAGGTACATTGAGCCATTCCAAAAATTTCTTAAATTCAGCCCTGCAGATTGCACAGAATTTTTTGTTCTGCTGAAAGGATATACCTTGGGATTGATTACCTTGAGATTTGTTACCCTGAGTTCCAAATAATCATGCTTATTTATGTATTTGACAGCCTTCATAGTGTATTCTAGGGCTACAGGAAGAGAACATGATATTCATGATGTATGACAAGTTAAACTTATACCTTTACACTGTGAAATTGATATTGATTATGATAAAAATCATTCCCTTCTTTGCTATAATACAGAGTCCTTGGACCTCAATACAGAGGGTCTTTCTGCTCCACTAATATTCTCACTAGTCTGCCCTGAACACCAAACCTACATGTCTCTCAGAATCAGCTGCAACAGGTCAAATGGAAGTCATCTAATCTCCTTAAACCTATGTGTTATTTTTCCATTCCTCCTAATAAGAATTTTACTTTAGTTTATTATGTTCATAGTATTCACATGCCTTCTAAATTTCTCTCTAAGAAACCTTGGTTTCTTACTTCCTTACATATACCCATGCTGAAATTGTAAGTCTGGAAAGCTGATTTATTGGATTGATTTTTTACAGTAACTAGACAGCTATTGTGACACACAGTATCAGGCACACAGTATAATTTCTGTTACAGGTTAAGAGCTTTTAAATAGTTTTTCTATTCTTAAAGGTAAAAGAAAGCAAAAGCAAATATTAAAATAACAAAGGCCCAATGGCACAAAATTAAAGTAACTGTCTCATCAATATATTGAACTGGGAGCCAGGAAGGTGCCTGGCTTTAATGCAGGCTAATTCTTTGAGGAGAATGTCTGACTTGAGTCATCTAAATGTAAGTGACACAGTAACGTTAAACAAGAGATAACCTCCCAAATGCCTTTCAGAAACAGAGAACACTCTGGAGATATTTCATAACATTTGCTTACTTTAAATCTTTGTCAACCAGCTGTCCTCCCAGTTTAAACCAATCCAAATATATGTCTAATAGTTCATAATGAGGTATTAGTGGGTATTTACTTTCCAGGACTCTCCTAATCTCATGTCACACCAATTTGTAACGTAAGAGAGAGTCTACAAGAATGAATGCATGATCACAGACCACTTCATTTTCACCAATTAGCAACCAACACCAGAATTAGACCTCACCATGACTTGTGTCTAATGCTAGTCTGTCCTGGCATTATTTTGCTTGAGCTTTATAGTGGCAGGAAACCTGCTGAAGGTGTTCTTAAGTTTTGCCTAAAATATGTCATGCTCTTAGAAAGGATGTGGTGTAAACATGTCTTTCCTGCTCCTGCCTGCATTACCTTACACCTCACCTATCATCTGGTCCAAAGCTCCAGCAAAGCCGTTCCCATGGCATTTATACAGCACAAAACTGGATTTATACAGATGCTTTGTAGCTGGGGCCATTCTGTGACCACTTGCTTGTGCAGCTGCATAATTGGGTGTCTTCTTTATAAGGTATTTATCTCTTGTTGAACCTGGGATTTCTAATGAGCTGTCCATTGATAGAGTAAATAAACCTAGGTATTTTCTGTGACTCACCAAGAGCACTGAGATGGCTCATTTTTATTAGGGGATCAGAAAATCTCTTAGACAGCTAGAGGACATATGAGATAATTTTAGTTAAGAACATTCTACTGCCATGTTTGACATTGGATTTTTCTGCAGCACCAAAAACGAAATCACACTCAGCCCTGAAGTAACATCATCCTGTCTGACACAATAGCTGCTAAACTGTTTGTTCCTCTATTACACTGAGATCAAAGCTACACAGAGATTCACAGCAGGGCTTCAAACAAGCCTAAAATTTGCAGAGAATAACCTAGCATGCTGTCCATAAATAGAGGAAAGTTCTTTCAGCTGCACATTATTTTCAGTTTCCTTAATAAAACTAAGCATGTAAAGAAATGCCTAAGTGAGCTAGGACCCTGAATCCTGCTGCCTTTCAATGGAATTCAATTCCTAAAAGGCCTCTCAATGTCTGCATCTGCTTTTGTACCAGGGGAGTTAGGCCCTGGTATCACTGCTGCCCTTTGTTGCACATATGGGTACAAGATGCTCTGCAGTTCATGGACTTTCATTGCCAGAAATGTTTGAATAATGGATCATTACTACATTATCTGAAGGTCTTATAACATAGTATCCTCTTAACGTAGTATTCCAGCTATTGTACTACAAAGATGGTGAAAAGACAGAGATTTAACTGAATTGGTATAGCAAGAGAGCCCTGCCTGCATTATATCCAGAGAGGGACAGAGCAGAAGGACAGATAAACCTGACTTCAAATATTAGTTGCACCAATTTCCCTACTTTTCTACAGCCAGGCACTAAGCCTTTAGTGACTGGCTGTCATGATTAGATGGTCAGCAGTTCCTGACATAAATTATGAGGAATCCACACATGATAGAACCTCATGGTCAGACTTTTCTACCACAGCAGCCTGGTGACCATCCTGTGGTGCTCCCTTCTTCCCTATACTCCCCCACCCACCCTTTTTTTTTTCCTTTTCCCTGAATAAGTAATTTTTTTTCTTTCAAAGTATAGAATGAAGGCTGAATGAGGCTGATGGCCTCATTCTCTGAATGTTTGAGGGCATGTGAAGCAGGGATATAACAGGGAGAAAAGTAGCCAAAAACAGGTTGTCTGTCTGGTGTTTGAAGGCTGAAGGTTAGGGCAGTCTCACCAAATGGCCTTTGGAAGCAAGGATTACTCATTACACAGAGATACCTTGCTGCAGAATTTTCATCTTTTAAGCAGACCTTGTACAGGGAATGCAAATGTGCCTACTTACACTGGTCAGGTGGTGTAAAGGGTTTAGTGTAAAGGAGAATGAATCCCTGGCTGTTCAGAATCTCCTGAGATACTATTTGTCGTGGGAGCACACAGTCAGTTAAAACCATCCAAGTGCTGATAGCACAAAAGCAACTCCAAGCTGGTCTCTTGTGCAGCGACCTAAAATGCGCACCAGATCAGTGTATTTCACACCATGGTCTCTCAGCAAAGTATTTATATCGATCAAGATGACTTGTACTAGTTTTTGATGTTAGCATAACCCTTGCATATGGGTCCACAATCAAACACAGGGCATAAGATGCTATGGAAAACATTTTGAACTGTGGCTTGTCACCCCACAAAGGAGTCAACAATGTAACATTTCCTACTGTTGATTTACCCTGGTCCCAAATCATCACTAACACAGAGAGGTGGGAACTCACCCTCATAAAACACAATGTGAGGACTCTGGCAACCTATCTGCTTTAGAAGGAATGTGAATATTTTAACAGACCCTCGTTTTATATTTGAAGTGTGGCACAAAGTTTTACAGAATGTATTTTTCTTAAGAAATTCTTACTTATTTCCTTCCCCTTAAGGGCAGATCATTACACTAATACTTGTCTTTTTTAAATGCATTGAGAAATCCTGGCAGAACAAAGCTATCCCATCAGGTACAACTGCTTAAATTATGAAGGATCCTGAAGAGGCTGCTTCCCAAGGGCCAGGCTGCAGCATTGTCTGGAAGAATGTGCAAGGCAGAAGTGTCCTTGAAGAGACCAGCTACCAGGAGTGGCACTGAATTGTTTTCAGGAGTTTTATATCACAAAGTCTGTGAGGCTGGTTGTATACAAGCCCCAGTGAGCAAAGAAAGCACAAGCTCACCCAGGCTGTGTGTACACATCTGCACCAGAGTAATAAACAGGGGCTCCAGGGCTACTGCAAAGAAAATCTGTATGAGCAGATAACTTTTTCTTTCAGTACTGGGAGAGGAGACACTGCCAGTTCATGAGGATATTGCTTAAATAATTTAGAATTTAATATCACAGAATCATTGAATGATGTGGGTTGGAAGGGATCATCCAGTTCATGGTCAGGGACTGTTCCACTAGTGCAGGCTGCTCAATGCCCCATCCAACCTGGCATGCTTAGATTAAAACTCCACCAGAAACATCATTTGCCCTACATTCAAAGAAAGTGTCATACTACAAGAGCCTGAAAGAAATGCAAATGATGGTCAAAAACTAATCTAAAAATATTAGAAAAACATTCCTAATTATTTTTATTTTATATGGCTGAAGTAGGTGGAAAATTGTTGAGGTTTTGTTCCTAAACCACTTAAATTCTCTTTTGTGCAGTCCCTGAGTTTTGTTGCAGGAACTGAAGTGCTCAATTCACTATTCTGGAATCCATCCAAGCCATAGGTCAGTAAAAGCTGACACCATGGGATGTCCCACAGAGACAGGCTGCTTTCTGAAAAGCACTCAAGATGAGACAAGATGACCACCTAATGCCTTCATAAATTTCAAAGAACAACTAGAAGGAAGACATTCCCTCTCTTGCAGAAAAGAAAGAGAAAGAAAAAAAGAAAAAGAAAAGAAAAATGTTTTAAGCTCTTTTCCTTTTTCTTCATTTTTAATCTCCAAATAATGATAGTTGTGGAGCCAAGATGCTGTTTAGAGCCAGGAACAGCAAATACCAAGTTCAGACAGCATCCATAGAGATGCTATTGTGGGTAAAGGGGTCTGCACTCGGCCAGCACCAAAACGGCCTTGAAAATCTTCATGGGAAAACTTTTGGAGTTGGCGTTCTGCAGTAGCGTTTACGATCCTGTGTTTTCTCTCAGCAGCCCATCCCGCTGGGTGCCCGCTTCTCGTTTTGCCCGCGCGTTCCTTTAACAGCGAGGCGGGCGGGGGTGTCCCCGGGGCGCCTCGGGCGAGGA